CGAATCCTGAAAGATTCAATGTCCGAAGGGAAGTGAGGTTTCCCAACCCCTCCGGAAAAGCTTGCACTCCGCCGAATCCTGAAAGATTCAATGTCTCAAGGGAAGTGAGGTTTCCCAACCACTCCGGAAAAACTTGCACTCCGCCGCATCCTGAAAGATGCAATGTCCCAAGGGAGGTGAGGTTTCCCAACCCCTCCGGAAAAGCTTGCACTCTGTCGAATCTTGAAAGATGTAATGTCCTAAGGGAAGTGAGGTTTTCCAACCCCTCCGGAAAAGCTTGCCCTCTGCCGAATCCTGAAATATACAATGTCTCAAGGGAAGTGAGGTTTCCCAACCACTCCGGAAAAACTTGTACTCCACCGAATCCTGAAAGATCTAACACCCCAAGGGAAGTAAGGTTTCCCAACCCCTCGGGAAAAGCTTGCACTCCGTCGAATCCTGAAAGATGCAACGTCCCAAGGGAAGTGAGGTTTCCCAACCCTTCGGGAAAAGCTTGCACTCCGCTAAATCCTGAAAGATGCAACGTCCCAAGGGAAGTGAGGTTTCCCAACCCCTCGGGAAAAGCTTGCACTTTGCCGAATCCTGAAAGATGCAACGTCCCAAGGGAAGTGAGGTTTTCCAACCCCTCCGGAAAAGCTTGCACTCCCTCGAATCCTGAAAGATGCAACGTCCCAAGAGAAGTGAGGTTTCCCAACCCCTCCGGAAAAGCTTGCACTCCCTCGAATCCTGAAAGATGCAACGTCCCAAGAGAAGTGAGGTTTCCCAACCCCTCTGGAAAAGCTTGCACTCCCTCGAATCCTGAAAGATGCAACTTCCCAAGGGAAGTGAGGTTTCCCAACCCCTCCGGAAAACCTTGCACTCCCTCAAATCTTGAAAGATGCAACGTCCCAAGGGAAGTGAGGTTTCCCAACCCCTCTAGAAAAGCTTGCACTCCCTTGAATCCTGAAAGATGCAACGCCCTGAGGGAAGTGAGGTTTCCCAACCCCTCTCGAAAAGCCTGCACTCCCTTGAATCCTGAAAGATGCAACATCCCAAGGGAAGTGAGGTTTCCCAACCCCTCTGGGATAGCCATCAGATTGACACAATTGTGGATCTCCAAGGAAGACAACTTATGATCAGATGAAAATCCACCCATGAACCAAGTTTCCAACTTTTGACAATTCCTAATTTTCAAACTTTCAAGGCAAGGAAACACAATCTCAACTTTGCCTCCTACTGCAATATCATCATCATTGACTTCAACCCATTCCTCTAAGCTTGCCATGTTTTTTAAGGTGAGCTGTCTCAAAGCTGGGAACAGTTTGATTGATTCTACTCCTCTTGGACCATCAAACTTATGACCTATTCTTTTTACATTTTCAAAATTATAAATATAAAGAGACTTGAGACCAGGCAAAAGTCCCAAACTAGGAATGTGTTCACAATTATGCCAATCACCTAATTCCAACTCCACCAAGTTATCAGACAAAAATGTAGCACCACCACTCATCATCCATGGCGGAAAGCTCTTTCCCATGTAACAATAAATGGATAAACTTTTCAAGTTTGAGTGAGGCTGAAGACCATCTAGAACCTCCACATGGTTGCTGCAGTTTCCTTCCAATTCATTCCATTGCAATTTCAAATGGTGCAATCTTGTCTTTCCTTGTAGGTTTGCTTTTATGGCTTCTGATTTTGATCCAACTTGTTCAAGGTTCCGAATCTCCAATTCTCCTCTGAGTTGGGTTAAGCCTCCCAGCTCTTCAATGCCACTCCCCTTTTCTTTGCTTACAAAAAATAAAGGTAATGTTTGAAGGGAAGTTAGGTCCCCAAGCCCCCTTGGCACATGCTTTTCAATAGAAAAATAAAGGTGCCTCAAGCTCACTAGATTGCTCATATTATCAGGGATCCATGGAATAGAATGGCACCAGTTTAGTCTAAGAGTTTGCAAATGGTAGAGCTTGGAAAGGGATCCTGGTAGTGCTTTAAATTTGCCATTTGATATGTCAAGGTATCTCAAATGCTTTAGTTCACCAAGAGCAGGACACAACTCTTCTGTCTTGGCTTGCATTAATTTTAAAGATCGTAAACTTTTGAGATCAGATGCCACGTTATTGAAAACATCAGCATCCTTTTCTATGAACAAAGAACGTAGCCTTTGACAGAGATCAGTTGGAATGCATGGAAGTCCACTCCCATTGTGCTTGACTCTCAAATGTAGAATAGTAGCATTTTTGTCAATCTTGCAACTAGACTCCAAGATTAAAGTTTCATCTTTTGAAACAGCCAATGCCAGATCATGCACCACATCATGCATCTTGCAAAAAATGATATCTCCATATCCATTCTTTTCCAAATCTTGAAATAAGGAATTAGATAACAAATAGTTAAAGTAAGCATCACCAATTTCTTCCATTGTCCTGGAGCTTTCATTAGGTTGGTGAAGAAATCCCTGAGCCATCCAGAGTTGAACTAAATCATCCTTTCCAATGCGAAAATCTTTTGGAAATATTGAACAATAAGAGAAGCATTTTTTCAAAGGTGGAAGCAAATGATCAAAACTGATTTTCAGTATGGATAAAATCCATTTTCCATCTTCTGAATCCAAATTCCATGCATCATTATCTCTGACAGCCTCCCACGCACATTTTTGAATTTTAGAGCTCAATGTTCCTCCAATGACAGCCGCTATCAATGGCAAGCCCCCACACCTTTTGGCAATATCCACCCCAATATCTTTCAAATTAGGAGAAATTGATTGCAGTCCCGACAGTTTGAGAACCCTCTTTTCAATTATTGACCAGCACTCATCATCTGATAACTTCTCCATTTTATAAATCTGCATAGAATTTCGCACAAGATTCATTTTCCTCATCTCAAGTGCTACCTCTTCATCACGAGTTGTCACCATAATGGAATTCCCATTTGTCCTCAAAATTCCTGAGAGACGACTGTTGAAAGCAACCCACTTGGATTTATCTTTGTTCCACACGTCATCAAGAATGAGAAGAAAAGTTTTCTTCTCTAAATTTTGTGCAAGATCTTCAACAAGTACATTGATGCTGCTTGGAACGACACCAACCTTTAAATGTTCATACATCTCTCTCACAATTGTTTGCTCATTGAAGTCTTCAGAGACACACACCCAGACTACTAGATCATAGCGTTCCTTGGCCTTATTGTATATTGATCTTGCTACTGTTGTCTTTCCAAGGCCCCCCATGCCAACTATTGAAACGCCAGAGACTAGATACTGTTCCCCCCTCAAGTCATCCAGCATCTCAAGAATTTTCTCAATATCATCTCCCCTTCCAGAAACCTCTGGACAATCAAGGAGGGAGTCTGTCGGTGTAAATTGGCTAGCAATCGGATGACATTGTTGGTATGCCTTCAGATTTAGCAGAGAAACGCGCTCTTTTAATCTATCAAAGCGCGCATTGATATCCTTTATTCTGTCACCTATATCAGAACTAAGGGTGAAACTGGGGGTACCGCTTTTCTTTTTCTTATTGCCAAAAGCAAGGGTGAAACTGAGGGTACTGCTTTTCTTTTTCTTATCGCCTTTCTTCTTCCCGCCTCGAGGGTTAAGCTGGTACTCAAGATGCTCATAATCACACCCATCAAGTACATCCTCAGCATCATAAGCTACATTTTGGAGATCTTGTAGCCAGAGCCTTACAGGGTCATCACTTTCTCTTCCCTGTTTTCCCTCAGCATCTTTAAGTACAGACTGGATCATCTTGAGCGAATCTTCAAGTTTCGCCAGCTCCGTTACAGGATCAAAACGCGAACTTGAACCGGAAGCTGTCCACCGTCCAGAAGCACGTGAAACCAATTTGGAAATCAACGCCTCTATAATAGGAGCAAGGAAGAGGCTGGTGACAAACTCAGGAATCATGCTTGGACAGAGAGAAAGATCGTGCTGAGACAGAGGGAAAAACAGAATAGTGTTGTGAGAACTGAGATGAGGAAATGAATTGTAGATGCAGATCCTACACAAATTTCATTTGAGAACTTGCAGAAAACCTAGGTATCAAATTATACTTCTTTTTTTTTTTTTATGTCCATCAAATAATACATATTACTATATATATAGGCTTAATTCAAAAAATCATCTACTAACTTTCAGTTTAATTTCAATTTCATCTATTATCTTTGAATTGTTTCAATTCTGTCTATTATCTTTCACATTTATTTCAATTTCATCTAGACAGTTAAAGTTAACAGAAATCCTAACGAAAATCTTCTTAAACCTTAGTACTCTAACTATATTTTTTTTAATTTTTTAGTCCTTAAATTTATATTCACAGTAAAAATAGTTTTTATTCTTATTTTGCTAAATGTGTTTTTCAGAAAATTATTTTATAGAGCAGACTGCTTTCAGTTCACCCTATAAAATTATTTAAATACCGTTAATTCTATTTTTATATTATTTTTATATGAACATTTAAATAATTTTATAAGACAGATTGTACACAGTCTGTCCTATAAAACAGACTTACTCTTAAAATTTCTTATTCTGAACTTACTAAATTTTTCTGTCTGAATTACAATTTATCTCTATAAACTATTTTTTGATTCATTATATTTTATTAGGATTTAAGTGTCACTTTTTTAAAACTCAAAGGACTACTCTTTCTTCAAATCTAACGGCAATCTAACGTCCTCTTTGTACGGTAGACTAATTTGAAATATTTTTCAAAGTTTCTAGATCATTTAGAAATGAAACAAACTTTCTAGACTAAACTGAAATTAAACTGAAAGTTAATAAA